CAACTGACGCGGTTCGCCCTACCATATGATTATACATGCTTTGCAGACGGTACTCCATTTTATATCGAGCTGTTTGGTTTCTTTAGTAGGGCCCCACAGGAAAAATATGTATTGGCTCAATTTTCTTTGACCAGTTTCGCCAATACATATTTTTCCTGTGGGGCCCTACTAAAGAAACCAAACAGCTCGATATAAAATGGAGTACCGTCTGCAAAGCATGTATAATCATATGGTAGGGCGAACCGCGTCAGTTGTCTCTCCCTTCTATTCCTTGCTCCCTGTCTCCATCTGATCGGTTGGAGGAGGGAGGGAAGGCAACCTCCCCCGCACAGCTTCCGAACCTCATTTTACCTCTTTGCGGCAGTGTGCGTCTCCAGAGGGCTTCCGAACCTCCCCCAAACAGTCTACCGAGAAGGATCTTCCATTTATAATTGTCAACTTCTACTTAAAACGGGACTAATTTGATTATTTAAGCACTGTAGTCCATCTGTAGTATCCTTCACATTTGCATAGTATATTTTTTTTTTAAATCAAAGCTCGGGGAGAAAATTGCTTTGTTTTTTATTTTTTTATCAACAAATCTTGGAATGGCTGGCGCTTTTTTATGAATAACTTTTGTAAAAAGTAGACATACAGTGAAACCCTTAATAACAAATACATCGGAAGAATTTATCAAATGTCGTCTTGACCATTTTTCAATGAGTTTTATACTATATTACGTAAATTTCAACATTTGCGAAAATAAATAAATATCCATAAATAGGCGGGAACAGTTTTAAAGAGTTCCATATAATCAGTTGATTAAAAAACTAAATATCTGCAACATTTCATTTTCAGAAAGTGAAGAATACGACATTTGATGAACTCTTTCGATGTATTCATTATTAAGGGTTTCACTGTGTAAGAATATTTTCTTCGTAAAATCCTGTTTCTAAAAAACATATCTCTTTGTTAATTATCTTTCTAGTTATTGAGATATTTAAAGAAAACAAAACTTTGTTATTACCTACTGAGTTTAAAGCTATTGCCGCCTTGTTTTTACAAGTGCTAGGTAAAATGTGGTTTGGGAGGCTGCCTTCCCTTCCTCGTCGGATATTGCAAATCCAAATAATCAGAATAAGACAATTCCCCCCATCATCAGCCACATCAGTCCAATCTTTGCATGATCCGAACCAGTACATGCCCTTACCAGTCTAATGTGATCCTAATGCAAACGCATTTACTTGTACCAGTCCGTCTAGTTTACCCAGTGTAAAGTATATAGTGGACCCAGTACGTGATGCATAAATGTAGGCTGGTTATACAACGAATCTGAAAACGAAGATAGAGGAAGCTAATCGTGAGGATTTGGTTTGCTCTAATTATAATTTTATAATTTTCATTTTTCTTATTTGTGTATTTTCTGAATATGATCTGTTAAAACTAACTATTTTTTTACAAAATTGCATAAATATGAATTTATATCAATTTCTCGAGACAGGAACATCAGATATAACTTTCATGGGTCGCTATCAACTAAAATAATTAGCTGTCAGCCTATACAGTCTCTTTAAGGGTAATGTTGTGACCCAGGCGTTGCCATCTTTGAACTGAGGGAAACTTAAGATTACGCTTACAGTCCCTTTAAAACAAACATTATATTGGCAACATGATAGTATTTTACTGCCACTGTTTTTAGTGTGTGAAAGATCAATTCCTGATTCTCTCACAGAATTCTTGCAATAATCTTGAGAGTGTCTGAAGGTGTCTGAAAAAAATGGCCTAAAGTCTAAAGCTAGTGAACATTTTGAGCAATGTTTTGTCAACTTTACAGTGCACTATTAGGGATGTGGTGTTACCAGTGGGACTGAATTAAAGGAATTTAAGGTATGTCGCATTTAGAAACTTAACTAAACATGTTTTAGATGCAGATCAACTGAAATAAAGTGAATCAAATACAAATATATTTGTTAGTACATAGAAGAAAAATATGCAAAACAATTATTTGGTAAAAATATTTTTTTTTTCCAAGAAATTATATTATTATTATTATTATTATTGGAAAATGTATATTTTATTGTTGTTTAAATAAAGTTTTATGAAACACGATTAAAAAAATGATTAAAAGAGTTAACTCTGCAAACTTTTATGTTGTGTACAACAAAGCTTATGCCTGTTTTTTTACTCTCCCTGCAGACATACAGATATTTTTGTCTCTATTTTAAAAATTAGAAAGAGACAAAAATACAGGTTTAGTATGTTCTCTTTAATACGTTAAACAGTGAACCACAGTAGTAATAAAATATTTTAGCTTGTGTTCAATAAGCAGTATTGTTCCAACCCTAGTGCTCTAGCACACAATTTAAAGTTAATATGTCACTTGTAGATTAGACAGCAAACTACATCCAACGTATCAGCACACTGTAAACCTATTTACGAAATGTATGAGACAGCAGCTTGGGCAAAGACAAGTAAGGAGTCTGAGTTTAAAAAGATCAATATCCAGAGGAACCTTCCGGGGCCGAAGGATGTCACCTTTGATGTCCTTTACTGTGGAATCTGTCACACTGACCTTCATTTTGCTAATGATGAGCTAGGATTGACAAGTTATCCAGTGGTTCCAGGCCATGAGCTCGCTGGGGTGGTCACATCAGTTGGGACAGATGTAACAAGTATCAAGGTTGGGGATAATGTTGGAATGGGTGCTATAGTTGACTGCTGTGGTTCGTGCATTCAATGTACGGAAGGAGAGGAAAATTATTGTACAAAAGGTTTCACACTGGCATTTAACTACCCTATTGTACATGGCGGGCTGAAATCCCACACTGGATACACCTTAGGAGGCTACTGTCAAACCATGACAGTTAATGAAAAGTTCATCGTCAAGATTCCAGAAAATTATCCCTTAGAAGCCGCAGGACCTATTTTCTGTGCTGGTGTCACCATGTACTCCCCACTAGCTCATTGGAATGCTTTAGCTGGAGGAAAGAAGGTTGGCATTGTTGGCATTGGAGGTCTTGGTCAAATGGGAATCAGGTTAGCCAAAGCAATGGGAAATGAGGTGACTGCGATTTCAACAAGCCCAGCCAAAAAGAATGACGCCTTGGCCATTGGTGCTGATACATTCATTGTTTCGGTGGATTCGGAAAGCCTGGCCTCAGCAGAGAATTCCCTTGATTTAATCCTAAACACAACATCAGTTCCTATTGAGATATCCATCTATCTGACTATGCTTAGGAAAGATGGATCCTTTGTACAGTTGGGAAATGTGACTTCTTCAAACAATATTGATCAACTTCCTTTTATCATGAAGCGGATTAGTCTTTCTGGGTCATTTGCTGGAGGAACCCTAGACACCCAGAAATGCATGGACTTCTGTGCCAAGCATAACATTATCCCTTCCACAAAGCTTGTTAAAGCACATCAAATTAATGAGGTATATGAGACGCTGCAAGAGAAGAATGATCAAATTATACGCTATGTTCTAGATATAAAGGCTAGTCTTTAAGAAGTTTATTTTTTTCCAACTCACTTTCAGTGTTATAAAATCTATAGGACTGTCAGAACTTTGACAAAAAGTCGAAAATTTAAAAATTTAAAATCCAGAAATCAGAAATTTTGTGTGGTTATTTTTGAACACTTGATCTCAAATTTAAATTAGAGGATCTTTGGTTGATCCCTTTATTAAAATTGTCTTTTCAAGATTTAGGGGATTTTTGTTTACTGTAACCCTGAGGCAGAGGCCCAAAAGAATTATGCGCATGCTCCACCCCGAACTAACCAGAGAGAGAAACATTTGGTTTCTTTTATTTGAAATAAAACATGTTTTGGTCTATAATTCAACACTCTTTAAACTTACGGATTTGTTTATTTTATATTTTTTCATTCAAAACGTATATGCCGAAAAAAAGTAGTTAAGAAAAAAGATTAAAAATTATGTATAAGGGGTTAAATTGTGATCGAAAGTCGCAGCTTTCTGAAATATTGACAGAACCGTTAAATCCACGTGGTTCTCTCTCTCTGTCTTGTAATTCAATTCTGACTGCGCGGAATATCTTTGGGCTTCTGCTTCAGGGTGATTATAAATATAAAACATTTAAATCTTGAAAATACAGCATCTAGTGTTATAATTAATAAATCTATGCCTCATGGAATATCAAAGATAAATTGATTTATTCTGTATATCTTCATAATATGGTTCACTACGACATTTGGTTTCAAAGATATAGGGAGTAGAAAGTCAGAGTTTATGGCAAATACTCAATTCCTTTATGTACAATGTGAATGCACTGAAAATTGTGATTTTACTTTATCTTTATCTTTTAAACTACAATAAATGTAAAAATTAAGATTATTTTTTGTCTTCAAGGGTGCATACTGCACATCCAAATAAAACAAACCTTTAAAAATCTTATTTAAACGAACTAATGAAATTAAAGGAATCAAGTTTTGGATAAAGACAGCTTATTCCTAAATATTTTGTGTGACAAGGTAGAAACCTCTATATAGCTAGTAGCTCATACTTCACAATGGAGTAATTTTTCAGGATTCATTATTGACATATAAAACGTTTTAATGATGTATAATTACGTTGTTTGAGCGCGAGAATCAGTTTTTAAAAGATCCTGAAGTAACGATGACAAAAAATGTAATGAAAATTCGAAAGTAAACCACTTAGTTGTTTAGGAACCGGTTAAATTGATAAAAATTGACTTTTATTATCGAAAATCTTATTTGGTTATTTTTTTAAGTCTCATTGGAATGTTGTAAACATTTTTGCTAAAAGTTCTCTATAAATTGCTTATAACTACAATCTTATGCTGATTTTGCTGGTTCTCTAAAAAACTTTTTACATATTCTAAACTTATAGCTTGGTATATAACCTGCAGATCTAAACAAATATTTAAACCAAGCTAAAAACATTTCCGTGGTTCTAACGAGATTTGAGGCAAATCAGTCAAGGGGTTCATGAGTCATATCGGACACACGTACAGACAAAGGGAAATTACTACTTTTAAATACATACAGTGGTAGGCAATTATATCAATATAATGAAGACACCTTTTTTAAAGTTTTAATTTTTCACAACCTTTTTAATTGACAGCTTCTCTTTGTTTCCATTTTTTGAGTATCCATACTGTCTGTAAAAGTCTGATATAAATCAAAATTTAAATTGAAAGTCGTCTTTATAATATTGACACATAGCAGACTGTTTTCGATGCCGTATAAACCGACCTAGATGATTCTAACCTAAAGGTTTTCTGACCTAAATATCGAACAGTTTGCATGTGTTTTAGGTCGGTTTGGTTGAAAAAAGCTTTAGGTCCGTTTGACATCCTTTGAGAAATATATAGGTTTTCCGGCCTAAGATTTAGAGATATATTTAGGTTGGTTGAGCTTATATCTTAGGTCTGTTTACCAAAACGTTTAAGTTGGTTGGTGAAAATTTTAGGTCTGTTAAGCAATATTTTTAGGTTGGTTGAGCATTTTTTTAGGCCGGATGCGGAATTTTTTAGGTCGAATGAGCCATATTTTTAGGTCGGATACGCATTATTAGGTCGGATGAGCATTATTTTTAGGTCAGATTAGCAATTTTTTTAGGTCGGATGAGCAGTATTTTTAGGTCGGATACGCAATATTTTTAGGTCGGATGAGCATTTTTTTTAGATCGGTACAATTTTCAATAATTTGATCATACCTCATTTTCAATACAGTGGTCGGCAATTATATATGAATAAAATGGAGAGGACTTTTTATTAATTATGTTTTAATCATTAATTTAATAACTAAAAGTAAACTTACATGTTATGCGTTTCTGCTGAAAAAAGTTGAGATGAAAATAAGTAAAAATATTGCTCAACCGACCTAAAAATATTGCTCAACCGACCTAAAAATATTGCTCATCCGACCTAATAATATTGCTCAACCTCAACCTAAAAAATTGCTCAACTGGCCTAAAAATATTGCTCATCCGACCTTAAAATATTGCTCATCCGACCTAAAAATATTGCTTAACCGACCTAAAAATATTGCTCAACTGACCTAAAAATATTGCTCATCCGACCTAAGAATATTGCTCATCTAATCTTAAAATATTGCTCATCCGACCTAAAAATATTGCTTAACCGACCTAAAAATATTGCTCATCCGACCTTAAAATATTGCTCATCCGACCTAAAAATATTCAACCTCGACCTAAAAAATTGCTCAACCGACTTAAAAATATTGCTCATCCGACCTTAAAATATTGCTCATCCGACCTAAAAATATTGCTTAACCGACCTAAAAATATTGCTCAACCGACCTAAAAATATATTGCTCATCCGACCTAAAAATATTGCTTAACCGACCTAAAAATATTGCTTAACCGACCTAAAAATATTGCTCAACCGACCTAAAAATATTGCTCATCCGACCTAAAAATATTGCTCATCTAACCTAAAAATATTGCTCATCCGACCTAAAAATATTGCTCATCCGACCTAATAAAATTTCTCAACCGACCTAAAACTATTGCTCATCCGACCTAAAAATATTGCTCAACCGACCTAAAAATATTGTTCAACCGACCTAAAAATATTTCTTATCCGACCTAAAAATATTGCTCAACCGGCCTAAAATGAATGCTTATCTAACCTAAAATTGTTGCTTTAACCAACCTAAAATGTATTCCCAACTGACCATATTAATAACCAACCTAAATATATTTCCAATCTGTAGGTCAGTTTGGGACATTTCGCTAATCGAACCTACAGAAAAATGTCAGGTCAGAAAAACGTTAGGTTAGAAATTAGGTTTGTTTCCTCTAGGTTCGATGAAGCGCTGTTTTCAGGTTCATCCCCAGGCAGTTTACCTTGGTGTTAATTAGAACTGAACTGATTTGAGACAGAAGGCAGAAAACAGAAACAGAGCCTCCATGAACTATTGTATTCCTAATTTTTTTGCTCTGCAAAAAAAAATTAGCAAAAGTGTAAGGACCACCAATTAACAATACCTTTTTCCAAAAAAAAATGCCAGAGCACTGATTTTTAGAAGAAGGATTTATAAAATGCAAATTGCTTGACTTAAAAATCCATTATGTAGAATACAAGAAAAATTTTGTGTATGCAGTTAAAAATGACGATCATCTAGATCAGGACCAGCAAAATAGTTTGTTGCAATAAAAATTTTCACTTTTTGACAGCAAATGTTTTTAAATCGTGGATTTTAAAGAAAGTTTATTACAAATACTTCTTATTTCAGGATTATTTAGAGCTAGACTGTTCCAGAATTTTGGCAAATAAAGAAAGGAAATCGACATAAAGATTCATTATCAACTCTCGGGATAAAATATTCATCAAAGTTTCTTAAATTATACAAATTCACAGTTAATACTGTCGCATTTTTGGACAAATCAATTGATGCGATAAATCATAACTCATGAACTTGCAATTATGATAAGATCAAACATCGGGTCATCTCCTTGTGGCAGATCTGTCCTTTATATGGTCAATTATCTTTGCACCCTAATTATACCTTTTTAATAAACATTTAGGCCATGCACATTCATTTATTTCTACATATCTTATAAATGGACATACAAATACATTACTATGATTATGTGTGCAGATTAGCAACAGGTTATGATCCTTCTATTTGTTAGGTTCATTAACCTGATCCCTAAGGACCTTATCAGTAAGTCCATTGATTCTAAAGTGTAGTACCAACATACTATACTCAATCCGTCAACTAGATCTTTATCCTCTTTTTCCAGGTCTGCTTATCCACGCGTTCCTGCATCTTCTGGAGCATGTCCCAGACCTGGTTGTATAAGCGGGTGTTGAGCTCATCCCTACTTGCCTCGTGTTTGTATAAAATGCCTTCTTTTTGAGCGAAAATTTTATGTTTTTTTAAAAAGAAAATGGTATTGAAGGTTTTAAAAGCTAGTTTTTGTTTATTCTCATTTTGGATTTTGAAATCTCACTACCGCCAATACCACAGTTTGAAAATAAAAGTTAAAATTTTTTATTCTCATTTTGGATTTTCAAATCTCACTTTTTATTTTTTTCATGAATCTCACTACCTTAGAACTTGACACTATATACTTTTATTTTATAAAACTGGGGCATTTTATACCTACAGACTTGCCTCTGGGTACAGATGATACTCTCTCTCCCAAGCTTTCCCAGAATCCCATACCTTAATACCCGGATCCGTAGGGGGCTGTTGAGTACTTGCACCCCTCTGAAGAGGGGACGTTAGATCTCTAAGATCCTTATTCAGTTCCTCCAAGTTTACCAGAACTTCCTGCATCACCTTCAACAGCCCTTCTGCCTCATCATCATTCCCGTCCTCTGCCTCGTCCTCAGCTACTTCTCCATCCTCAGAGGCTGGAGCATTTACTATGGGAGCAGACCCACTGATGAGAGGGGTGAGATCTACAGGAGCAATCTCTACTGCTTCATCCTCAGTAACTTTATCTAGGTGCGCTGGATTGCTTACTATCGCGGATACTCGATTCATCACTTCTTGAAGTAGCTCATCCAATCAGAGTCCCACTGTATGCTATAATCTAAGTGATGAATATGAGTAGTACGGGGCCCGGTAGACGAGCTCCGGTTGTATTCAAGGTACTGATCATTCTTTTCAGGAACGGTCTAAGATACAACAATACAGAGTTTTCAGGAACGGTCTAAGATACAACAATACAGAGTTTTCAGGAACGGTCTAAGATACAACAATACAGAATTTTCAGGAACGGTCTAAGATACAACAATACAGAGTTTTCAGGAACAGTCTAAGATACAACAATACAGAGTTGTTTACAAAAAAAAATTCCAAAAGACTATTTTTATCAATTGAATGCATTAACATAAGTTTCATCAGGTTGCAGATATAGGTATTAAAAAATTTTAGTTTGTGGATAAGACTCGATTCCTAGCCACTTCTCTATCCTAACTAAATAAAATGTTTGAAGGGGAGTCACGCAAAAATCAATTTTGTTAAAATATACTGTTGAATGTTCAGTAAATCAAAACAGGGAAATCACCAGTTGAAGAATTTAAAGAAATTTTCCTTCCCTGGTCTATATATCTATATATATCTGGTCTATATAAACCTCATACGTAGTATTCAAATTTTAGTCTTCTATGAACCGTTCAGTCATTCTTACAAAAGGTAAATGTTTACAAAAAAATCCAATAGCTAACTCAAGTGCCCGGCTATGACTGTTGAACTTTTAAAGAACTTTGTAAAAAATGGATTTCGAATTTAAGAAAAAATCGATTTTTATAAAAATAGCTTTATTATATAGATTAAAGCAATTGTCAACTTTGTCGTTGCTAGAAGCAATAGCAAAGAAATATTTTTTTTTATCTTGAAACGAAACTTTTTTTGGGTCAATTTCCCTCTTTTCTTTGCTGCAGAAATCTACAAGTCTCTTTTATAGAGAACCCTGCAATAAAAAATGATCAATGATGAAAACAAAAAAAATTATTGCTTCTAACAAAGTTTAAAGAACAACGTCGTGAATTAAGCATAAAACTTCTTGAACCAAAGGGTCTTTTGATTTCATAATTATCATTAAAGTGATTGTTCAGATATCTGGACTCTGGATACAACTACCATGATTTAGAAATCTGTTTAACAAAAACAATCTCAATTCGCTGCAAACCAAGATGGTCACGCTCTACAACACTAAGCAAAAATCGAGTAGTATTTTGCCATTTACTTTTTAAACTTCAACTTTAAAATATAGATGTCCGGTGGCCGAATTTAAAGAATTTGAGCGGCGGTTTAAATTAAAGCCGCGGCTTAAATATGGTTGGTTCCACTTAAAATTGTATCAAATGTTTAAGCCGGCGCTTAATTTAAACCGGGTTTTGGCAGATTTAAACCGCGGCTCAAATTCTTTAAATTCCATCTTGGGAGTTGGGACTACTAAAAAGTGTAAGTGAATTGGTAAAACCCAAAGGTGTCTCTGAGTCCGCTGAGGGCATATAACGGAATGTTACTTATTTTATTTATTTAGGATTATTACAAACATGAGGTTTACCGGATACATTCTTCTTGCTCTCAGCTTTCTTTTGGTCTTGATGTCAGCTGTAGATGCAAATCCACAATTTTGTTATGAACAGTGCAGGTGCAAAACAGTGTGTCCTCCAAATAATCCACCTACAGGATAAAATTAGTGTTTATACAGATCAACAATCTACGGCTAATCCTTACAACAGACGGGACTATGAGAAACCTACTAAACAAATCATTGCAAATATTTTTTTTTTATTTTGATAATAAAATCTTTAGTGGTTTTATTGAATAAACTTAACTGCAATACAGGATGTCCCAATAAACATGGGACTTCAGTGACGAATTCAATAGATCGTCTTTGTTATGAATTAGCATTGTAATACCTAATTTCAAAAGCCATAATATTATTATGTCTGCTAGAGATTATTTTTTGAAAAGGGTAAATGGCTGTAAAGGTGTGTCTATATAATGTCTCCGTAAGATGAACAGTGAAGACGAACAAGTTTACTCTGTTTGTATACTGTAATTTTCTTATTTTACTAAGTACAACCGTATGCAGTCAAAACATAAACAAACAAATTGTTAACATAGCAGACGAAAATTTTTTAAAAATACCGTTTAAAAACGAACTTTTAAACTAATGTTTTTAAAAACGATCGTTTTTCGATTTTTGTCGTCGTTTTCATAACTAAAAGATCGCTTTACAAAAAATTGAAAACGTTAACATCCCTCCTAAAGGTAACTTCATTTTGTTGAAGGGAAAACTATGTATAAACGCCTGAATTAAACTATTTCATTTTGTGGCAAATTATTACAGGTCTGAAAAGAGTGTGTTTCGGATTTTTGACACACTTAACGTTGTTTCATTTCAAATATTATTTTATTTTTACGTTTTATATTTAATGAAAAAATTGTGGATTTCTGGAAATAAATCTTATTTTAAAGGTTTAAACAGCATTTTATAGCAAATTGTTTTAAGACGACCCATTTCCCCCCATTTGTGAAATATCTATAGAAAATTATTGGGCAAGGGACCTAGCACATTTTGGAATATTAGGCCTACTTTATATGAGGTAAAACCGGCATTTAAGAGCAAAATGTTTTAAGGATGACCCCCTCCCCCCCCCACCCATTTATCGGCATTGTACTTGCTTGAATGATACTATAATAAATATGCTACATATATATTGTAATATCATTCTTTATACATAGTTATTTCTGATACTTACAACTATAGTTCTTAAGAAATATTGTTTGTAACTAATTAGATTTCATAATTAAACATTGTGAATTTAAATTATATATTGAGTTAAAACAATGAATTAAAGTAAATTGAATATTAACAACACAATTCTTATCTTCACCAGAGTTGACATTTTTTTGAAGGGTTCATAGGAGACCCCTTCGGACAATTCCAATCCTTTGAGAACTCTTTTTGATTTCTAAACGATCCATTTACTCTATACCTAGCATGATAAAAGTTTTTAAAAATTAAATGATATCTAGTTTTTTGCTTAATTAGTTTTTCTCGTTTGAAAACATATATGCTACAAACAGTTATATTATGTTTCATAAATAAAATGGAACCCTGTTTAAGCAAACTCAAAGTGTTTTATTTTAAACTGTTTATCCACCTATCATCTTTTCTTTTGAAAAATGACATAACTTTTAATTAGGGTTTCCACGAAACAGTCAATTCTCTTGCTCAACAGTTGCGTTGTTTTGCACGAAAAGACTTTTTTGCACTAAATTCCGCATCATCTACGTATCAGTGTGAAACCAGTTTTGCACGAATTCATTCAAAATTAATAAATTTTTTGGCACGAAATTTTGCATAAATACGAAATTTATGATATTTGCATGAATACATGTCATTTCTGCAATATCATAATAACTGGCAGAACTGATAGTGAAAATATCTAAAAATAATTAATATACCCCCTTTCCTTTCCCAGGAATTCATAAATCGCTAAATTGCAAAACAGGGTGGACTTCTTGCCCCCCCTCCCTACAGGGGGGGTCAAGCCTTCTTCAGGGAGGGGAATGACCCGCATACCCCCCCTTAATCCGGATTGCAAAACAGGGTGGACTTCTTGCACCCCCCTACAGGGGGGGGGCAAGCCTTCTAAAGGGAGGGGCATGCCCCCCCTTACTCCCTCTAGTTGCGCGCCTGACCGGACTGATGATTAGTGAATGTGATTATGATTATTTAATTCGTGAGTAACTCTGTTACTACTTGAGATTGATTGCCGGTAAACAGTGTAATAGTCGGTAAGGGTTGGTGACCTAAAACCTGAGAATTGGGGCTCATTCGGCCAGCATGTGTGAGCGCCCAGCAGGCTGGAGTATAGTTGACTCTGATCGGTTTAATTTTGAATTTATTCATCATTTCCTGGAATTGTTTCTCAAAATTAAACGAACTAGCGAAATAGCCCGAAATCACAAAATAGCAGAAAATAACGAAAAACGCAAATACTTAGATTTTCTGCAGAATTTGTGCAAAATAGCTTTTGCTCATCAATGCGCAAAAACATCAAATTTCATGCAATTTATATTCGAAACGTAAGCAAATCTTTGCGCAATTTTTGTGCAAAAATTTCGATTGGAAACCCTACTTTTATTGCTATGTATGAAAGAAAAGGGGTTAGAAAAAATGCTGTACATTATCACGATATCCCTTATCAAAAACCCTACCCTTAAAACTGGCCTTTTTTATTAAGAAATCATTTGATAAAGATACCTTCCTGGTGGATGAACATGAGTCAGAAGAACAGTTTTCATCCAGTCATCTCGATAAACACTGCACCATGTGGATGCTCCAGATAACCAGAACAGCTGACGAGGGGTGTATGGTAATCCAGGTAACGGGAGTTCCTCCCCTTCCTCTTCAATTAGCCTCTCATACGCTCTAGGAAAATTCATTGATTTTCTGGTATTGTAGTATTAATTAGTTATTGTGGCGGATATCAGGACGTGGCAAAGAGAACCAGATTGAATCCACGTCACCGGCAGCTGAATAATTCACAAAGATTTAAATATAAATTAGTTTTTAAATTTAGTTATTAAAGTTATGTTTTGAATCCAAGACTTTTGATCGATTGAACATAGCTAAATTATAGTAGATTCATTCATTTATATTTTTATTCAGCTACAAAGCATGAGATATTACAAATAAGCAAATCACAATTTACTATGCAGTTTGGACCCGCCTAACCAGGGTTGGTTGTTTTGAGGGGTTAGTCCGAAGTTAATTAACGATACTGAATATAATTGGTTACACATATCAAGATATGTTTTGGATAGGTACGGAGTTTATTGGAAGGAAGGAGATTGTCAGGTGATCTGTGGCAGGGTGAGATCAGAGGGATTTTTATGTAGAAATAAATTAAAATACAGAGTGTTAATGATGGTAGTCACATAAACAGAAATAAGCTAATAAAGTTTCAGTTATTTTAGATGTTTTTTGCATTTAAACCTCTCATAATTCTCAAGATAAATATTGATTACTCTTTGTTTAAATATTTTTGCAGATTTAATTTCTTTAAGGTCAAATTTAATTTCATTCCACAATTTAGGAAACATTGCGGACGGAAAGCTTCCTAAATTTTTGTTTAAAACCCGTTCTAATTTATATGATTTTGTTCTATTCGGTTCAGCTAAAGACTTAAACATATTTTGGAAGGAAGAGGGAAGGTTATCATTAAAATATCCATGCATGAATGTCAGAACACTAAGTTTGTATGTATCATCAAGATTAAGAACTTTCAGTTTTGAAAATAATGGATTTGAATGTGCCTTGAAAGTAATATTATTAACCGCTCTGATTGCCTTTTTTTGCAATGATGTGATTTTTTGCAGTTTAGAGTTTTTAACCTTTCCCCAAGTAACAATTCCATATTCAATATGAGGCCTTACAAGAGAGTTATAAACAAGTAGACGAATGTTTAATGGTAATATATACTTAATTTGAGACAAAGCAAAAAAGATTGAGCTAGCTATTTTATTCGAGATATGTTCAATTCGAAAATCCCAGTTTAAAAATTCGTCAAGTTTCAGTCCATCAAATTTGAAACATTTGTTCACACAGTCATTACCAATCCTTTCAAGTATCTCATTTCCTATTTGGGTCAAAATGCAACTCTTTATTTCTAAATACTATATACTTAATGTTATGCAGACATTTAGTGACAAACGATTTGCTTGAAACCATTTTTCTGCTTTTTTTAGTTCAGTGTTTGCATCAAGTATTAACGTCAGGAGATGACTTATAAAAACTAGTATTATCTGCAAAGAGGCTGGTAAAAAAGATGTTGCTAGGGGCAAATCAATTATATAAAGCAGAAACAGCAGAGGCCTAGAACACTTCCTTAAGGAACACCACATGTTATAATTCTTTCTGTTGAAAAAAACTCCATTTATACATACATATTGAGTTCTATTATCAAGATAACCAGGTGTTGGCCACATTTTTGAAACCATAATGAATTAGTTTTTTTAAAAGTATGTCTAAATAACAACAATCAAAAGCTTTCTTTAAGTCTAGGAATATTCCAAGAGTAATTTCTGGTTTAGATTTATTAAGGTTTTCATAGATTTTATTCATTGAGTGCAAAAGTGGTTGATTTGTGTTATGTTTAGGTCTAAATCCAGCGCATATCATGGTGCTCGTAAATAAACAGCAACATGGGGGGGGGGAATTTTCTTACTGTTCAGAGCGGAGCTTAGCACCAATTTGGCATTGAAATACTTGAACCCTTGAAAACATAGATTTCACTGATCCAGGAAGGGGGGGGGGAGTGGGTGAACCCATACACCTCCCAACCCCCCCATTTAAATAAGAAAAATATATAGATAGAGCTAGGGTTGGGCAAAGTTCAGTTAATGAAAGGAAGGTTTTAGAATTCGACAAAAACTGTTAATTTTTAAACCGTTAACGAAACAGATTAGTAATTTTTGAAGAAAAAAATTGACAGTTGAAAACGAAAACGAATAAAAGATAAACCCAGTAAGTTATATTATCTAAACAATAATAGAATGTGCGCATGGTCTATAAGCTATAGTTAAAGTTATACTATTGTGAATTATCAAGAAATTTGAATCCTGAATTCCATGTCTCAAAATAATTTCATATACAGAAAACTGTGGAAAGAAAGACGACATTTATAGCAATCCTTAAATCAAATTTTTTTAATTCACCAATAATTAAAACTAAAGTGAAAACTGTAACTGTAAAATAGTCATGATGAAATATACATAAAATATTTGTGAATATATAAGTAAAGAAATATAAAATGCGTATTTGATATATGTCAACTAATAAGTTTTAACTTTTGATGTTTTAACTCTGATTTTTATGTCTAATAAATTGTTAAAATTGTTAAAACTTAAGGGGGAGGTGTTTCCATGTAAGGGAGGTAGGTGTCCCCATGCATTAAACTGCTGACTGGAAAACTATTGATAAACATAAAGTCTACGTCTTATGGGAAACAAGAAATTTTGAGTTTATACTTCAGAAATTCATATTCCCATTCTGGTTTCCAGAATGTAACCCTAGAAGATTGTCCGGTTTACAGTATGGAACCTGGACATGTTACGGTTTTTATTACAGAACCCAGAAATTTTTCTGGTTTACGGAATTGAAACTGGAATTTTTCTGGTTTATGGAATGAAACCTGGAAATATTTCCAGTTTATGGAATAAAATCCTGAATTTTTATGGAACATTCTGGAATTCCAGAACATGGTTCTGGAAATTTCCAGTTTCCATTTCAGTTAACTGGAAAAAATTCTAGTTTAGGTAACGTAAACCGAAAAAATTTTGCTTTCCATTTCATCCAAAAATTACCCAGAATTCCACATTACGGAACAAATTTCCAGATCATTCCATTTCCAAAATGGAAATTTTATTCCGGAATAATGGAAACTGCTACTCAGTCTGCAGAAAAGGATAAATATAGTTAAACTGCTGGTGCTGTGAACAATGTGACAAACTGTTAATGCTGTTAATACTTCAAAAGACCTTTAGCGGCTTTTAAATGTAAATGTAAATGTAAATACTGGTAACAAAATGATTATTTTGTTCTTACCTTTAAAATTAACAGCAACCTGAAATTTTTTTTAACGGTTGTAACTAGCCATTATTGAAACGGCTAGAAAAAGAATTGGAACATGCCCAGCCCCAGATAGAGCACACCTGTATGACTGCTTGATACCACCATTATCACCAATATTCTCTCCTTGTGAAATGATGCCATTTAGCTTTACAAGACTGCCATTAATCTCAGCAGACATTGATCCATACTGGTCTAATCAAGTAAGAAGAATTTTACTAATGAGGATAAATGATCTTTTTATGAACCATCAAAAACTGAGTATTATCTGCCGTAGTCTTTTTAAAAAAAACTGTACAAAATATATTGTTATATAAGGTTCAAATTCATATTTATAAAAAAATACATCATCTGCGTACTCTTCTCTTGTATATTTTAAAAGGGAGCACAATATTTAAATTATCTGCTTGCTTTATTTAATAAAAATTATTACCTATAAAACACTTTGCTTTCTCCAGAAATTTCTGTTTAGTCTCTGGTTCCCACCAATCAATTAGGTTGCCATTACTGTCTGTTTGGCTTCCTTTATCATCATACCCATGTGTAAGCTCATGACCAACTAACTGTCCAATTCCACCATAGTTCATATATTTAGGTTGGTTTTCCTATATTAGGAATTGAAATGTGTGATTATTCTTTTTATATCAATTCTAAGGTTCTAAGCAAAATGTGTTCATTACTAATAGGGTTTCCAATAATCTGGAACAAAATTTCCATTTTGGAAATGGAATGATCCCGAAATTTGTTCCGTAAAGTGAAATTCCAGGAAATTTCCGTATGAAATGAAAACTGGAATTTTTCCGGTTTTACGTTATGTTTACAGAATGTAAACCTGGAAAAACTTCCAAGTTTACTTTCCGAAAACAATGGCTTTAAATCAGTTCAATTCAGAAATTGCAAAGTTTGAATATTGAAAACCAATAATGTGGCATGTGCATCAGTCTTAGTGATAATTTAATTGTAAGTATAGAGAATCAGGGAGTATGAAACTATACTGTATATGTAAGTTAATTCAAAGGTTTCAACAGACAATCCTCCTGATCATATTGTCTAATATAAAGCAAACCCAGAGATTAGAAGAATATTTAAACAATTTGGAAAAAATTATAATTCCAGATGGAGCATCACATGGGAACTCTAATATTTAAAGTTGGAATATCAAACCCATCACTAATCCCCCATCAATCCTCAATTTTTATATCCCTAAGATTTGTTAAATTTTGAAATCTTTCTTGAAACAAACTTAAGATCATAAGAGAAGTTAAATCAACGATAGTTTAAATCATTGATTTTGATATCCACAATTCTAAAGTTTTCACTCTAGTCTTATATATCACATATACATACATTTAAAACCAGAAAATCAGGGAAGTCAACTGGTAATCTCAAGTTTGATTAAAATTGATCCAATGAATATAAGACAAACACAGGTGTATAGCAGTGAAATCAAACATATGGAACTTAAATATTGATTTAATGTGTGTCTAGTAAAATTTTAGCTTTGCAACATTTACAAAAATACATTTAAAAATTGCTATAGAGTCATTTTTCCTATTCTCTTTACTTTCTTTTTATGAGAATCCTGACTGACAGGTTTCTATTGCTTTTTATCTTCTTCAAATAAATAGGATTATCTCATAATAATGTAAAGCCTACATCCACAATATTCTTAGTTAAACAGTTTTATCTAGGTTGCATCCTGACCTACAGAGACTTAGACTCTCCCCCTGAGTGGTCGTCAGTAGAGTCATGGTTAATCAACCCAGCAGCTAAGCCTGCCATCTGCATCCATCCAGGGAACAATTGGGATAAGAAATATCCCAACATCCCTTCCCTTAAAAAGATACACTTCTCTACCGATCCCTCCTGTGGGGCAAATTGGCCAAACAGAGATATTCCTTTGATCCCTCAGACTAATATAGATTCAGAGCTGCTTCATGTCCTCCTCTCCGACTTCAGGTTTGAGCTTACACCAGCAGTCCAATGCTGGGGAGAGAAGGCTACTCTATATCTGAGAGAAGGTGCAAAATCTCACCAAATGAAAACCTTTCCCTCAATCATGTGCAAGAAAAGCTCAAATCTTGTAGAGTCAGGTGAAAGGGTTTACAACACAATAGCTCCGGGCATCAGCAAAGGTTTCATAGCAGGTCCATTCTACTACGAACCCCTAGACAAGTTTAGATCCAACACTATGAGAGGGATTAAACAGAAAGACAAGCTAAGACATATCAGTAAATATTGAAGACCTGAGATTAAAAGATTTTTCTTGGTTAGACAATTTTTTTGTGGAACTTTCACTAGTCTTTGGCTCAGTAAACTCCGTGGAAGCATTTGACAACTTAGGAGAACTGATAATCTCTTTAGCTTGCATATTCAGTGGCTGTTACGCGATGTTATCGTCTCATTCTATAACTCCCCGCCCCTGTGCTCTTCTCATGAATCATGTGAAGCCCCTGAAAGGAGGACAGATCTGTGCGTATAGGAACTTTCTAAAACCAGTTTTGTTTAAATAAACTTTATCTTAAAATCTGTACTGTGTCCGCCATTTTTCTCATCAATTAAACCAGATATTTTGATAAGAAAAGTATTATCATTGTAATCCTGTGAACGGCACATAAAGGCACAGTTTATACACTGTATATTCAATTATGCTAAGCTGAGTTTAAATCCTTGTTATCCTTGTATGTTGATCTAATATTGATTTATCTTCTAAATAGTTTTGTAAATCCAAGATTTATAGTATTGGAAATAAATTGTTCTTTTTGTTCATCAATCTTATAGTTATAGATTGCTTTATATCATGAGCTTTTAATGCTTTATTACTCTTATATTAACGATTTTGTATAATCTTTATATTATTTTGAACTATCAAAGCTTTTGTTTCAAGATTTTCTTTCATACATATATTCTTTTTCTGTTATTTATGCTTACAGTCCTGGTTTCAATTGTAACCCTATAATGGGACTATGTCGAGGTTAATAATATTCAAGGATATTTTAAGCAGCCAGAATTAGTTGCGAAACATTCAATTTTAATTCATAAAAGGGGTTGAGTTTTCCTTTAATGATAACCTAATAATTGATAAATTGATACACTGATAACTGATAATGCCTCTACAGTGGACACCGCCTTTGGGGCCTGATAACTGGATGGGTGGGGAGGAGAAGACGTTCAGCCTCAAAAAGTGATGAGGATGTGATGAACAGCACTTTCAACCCTAATAAGCCCTGTCAAGTAACTGATGTATTGATTGAAGCAATAGGACTTATGCTTCAAATCCCCAAATTAATGCCTTGGGGTACATTGATGATTCTTACTGTGACAGTATGGGGACCCGTTTACAAACTAGAATTCAAACAAGTTCTTGGTGAGATTCTAGTGGGATTGAGAAATTAAACTCTGACTATTTGAAGGAACAAGCTAATATTAAGGAGTGGGAGGCAATTGTTACAAATTCTTGTAAACCCCTTTATTGAAAATAAACCTGGCGGGATTTGCAGGGATCTTAAGCAATGCATTGCTAGGGTTAGCATAGTAAGGGGGGATTTTTCCATGGTGGGGCAATTCAGTAGTCTGAACGATAGAGTGAAGACTATAAGGAGGAGAGCCATTGCTAGATGAGTACAAGGTGAAGATCATCCTCAGACCAATTTGCCTCAAGTCAACTCTGGAATGATGAGTTACTCTGAGATAAGGAGGGTGAATCAAGATGAAGTTTTCAACAGTGAGCGCGGAGCCCCCAGTTCAGAATTAATGCAGGAAGAAAATAGTGGTAGCACTGTAGTAGCATCAGGTATAGGAAGCCTGGTTCCCAGATTATTTCCAGGGTATCCTACCTATGCTAGACAGTAAGTAAATAAGCCCGGTTCATGGCTCAGCTCATTGCTCAACAAACTATTCAGAGCCAGTAAACAGGGTTGACCGACCTAACCTAGCATGTAGCAGGACAGGTAGGTCAAACAGGTTGACTAGCCTACCTGACAGCTATTCCAATTAATGTCAGATGTACCGTCACTGGCTGGTCAACCCAAAGAAGCTGGTGTACAGCTCCATCTGGGTAAGGGAGAACCATATAGCTCGGTAGAGGGATACATCCTTAGTCCTTTTGACAAACTCAAGTATAGGTAGGGAGGAGAGAGGCGGACAGAGATGACAGCTACCTGGCAAGAAGTGATCATAGATAAGGTACAATAATATCATCCATTTCAACACACTGTTAGACAAAGAAAGCAATGTTAAAACATTAAAAAACTTATTTTTTCCTACACAAATTTTTAAACCAGTTTCAAACCTTCCCTTGGGCCATGTGAATTGCCTCACAAATTTAGGACTTGGTCGGTTCAGCTGTTTTGAGATTTATTGGATACAAATGGACAAACAAACATAGTTAAAATATAGTTTTCCCGGAAAATTCCTGAAAGATTATCTGTAAGCAGGAATTTTCTGATACAATATTCCGGAATGTTTCATAATTATGAAATAATATTCTGGAATGTTTCGTAATTTTGGAACAACATTCCGGACATTTCTGGTTTACGGAACCTTTTCCACAATGGAAATGGAAATAATTTCTGGATCATTTCCGTATGTAAACCGTAACCTGGAATTCCAGTGGAAAGCCTAGTTACTAACCATGATTAGGGTTTTCAACACAAGTGGATTATGAGCCCTATAATTTCTATGAAATCTGTGCAATTAACAGCAATTCCGCACAGTAATGCATAATGGAAATTCTAATGGAAACCCTAACCATAAAGTTTCAAGTTAATTAAAATATTAAAATATTCTTACAATTTTTAAATCATATTTTCATATCTTTCCTCTCTTCGATGTTACTTAAAATTAAAAGAAAAAACCTGAAAAAGACGTCCAGCTAGTATTCCCGCTGGGAGAGTTATGGTGTTTGTATCATATTTTGCATTTACAATAGCAGCTCCTCCATGTATTTTCCAGCTGCAAGTTGTGTTATTATAAAATAGTTTTTATTAATGTGGAACTTGTTACTAATCTTGAGTTGATAGTTGAATTGAAATTTGTTATCATTCTCCTAATCCTAATTTTTGAGGGGTTTAAAAATAACTTAATTATCTGTATTTTCTGTATTAAAATAAAAGAGTTTTTGCAACAATTCCTGATACTCTAATACTTATATCTTTGTAGACCTTATATATTTCAAACTATGAGTTCTCTTGGATTAAAAGTCTAAAATATCATAGGTTTGTAGCAACTACCTACTCCATAACAATTTACTTGAGAGGTATCTATCCAGAGATATTATTAAAACAATCAAATAAGACCGGCTCTAGATGCAACACAGGGACACAAGTGTCCAATAACATAGGACAAATCTCAGACTCTATTTTCAACCAGGACTGGCTTTAAATGCAACACGGGGACACAAGCGTCCAATATTATATAGAGACAATTTCCACTCGCATAATTCAACGAGACCACAAGCTGTCTTTTAAGCCAAAATCGATGCAATGCCAAATTGCATAATCTCTTGAGCTATTGGTGTCAATCAAACAATAGCTAGAATCTATGCTAAAACAATTAACAAGATCTACACTTGTTCCTTGAAAGAGAATTTCAAAGCTCTTTATCATGCTTACTTAGGTTTCTGATAATGAAATCAAAATCAGAGTCTCATTCAACTAACTTTATTCAATAGCTTGGGTTACAAGGTTAACAGGAATTGACGTTAACAGTTAAAGTTTAACTCATTCCAACTCATTAAAATCTATGTTTTAAAAAATCTCAGGAAATCAAAATCTAAAAACCAGTTCTTAGGCATAAAACATGGTTTATGTCTTATACACTTTATGTATTGAGAAAGAAAACAAACCTTTTGGGATCATTGGGTTTCCGTAACTCTTTGACAATATACTTTTTGATAAATCTCTTCAGTTTTAAGTTGTTTGTTATAAAATTGGGAGAAAGCAACTCCAACCCTAATAATTAAAAAGATAATGAAAAAAAACTTGAATTTTGTCCCATGAGATAAATTCTTGATTACCTTCATAATATTGGTTTAAGAGTTCAGGATCTAAGATCTCCTTGGCATACCCAATAACTGCTTGCATCTTGTCCACCTTGTCATGAGCCTTCTCTCTTGTTATATCATCCATCCAATCCAACTCATCCAATATTATCTTAAACTCTTTCCTGCATAAACATAAATTTATGGTAACCTTACGTTTTGTTTTGGGTGTTCCTGGGTTTAAACCTATGTGTGGGGCTTTAAAGCAGGAGAACATTTATTTTCAGAATAACTAACATTAAGATTTTCTTTTGCAGAAAAACTTGCAGATTTGGCTCCTTTTTAAGGACCCAGCACTGCAGACTCCTCTAATATGGAAGGACCCAGGAACCACATCTGAGGGTTCCTTTACCCATAGAACCTGCTCTGAGGGTTCCTATACCCATAGAACCTGCTCTGTGGGTTCCTTCTCATGTAAAACATACTCTTTACCTGATGAACCTACTCTAGGGGCCCTTACTCCTGTAGAGCCTTTTCTGTTGGCTCCTGCTGGTGAGGAATCTTCTCCTTGGGTTTGATTTCCAGGGTAACCTGCATGCAGCATGGTGTTCCTTCTTCTTTTCTTTCCTACTTCTCAAGTTTCTTTTCTATGTTTTGGAGCCTAGATTATTCTGAGCCGGCGATTTATAAAATTAAAAAAAAAACAAGCTGTAGTTGGGCCTTATATATGGCTCAAGCTTTCAGATTCAAGTTGCATCTTGTTTAGTTCATATAACTGGTTAAGTTTAATATTTGGAGAATAATCTCCACTAAAACCAACCACCATCAGTTTTATTTTCATTAGGCCTAACTTTGAGCCTAAGATCTCGCAGCTGTCAATCACATGACTAAAGCTGTCATCAGAGTAGAGTCTAAGATTGTATCTTAAACCTGGGTTTAAGTAATTTTGACTTGAGCTAAAGCTTTACATTAGCAGGCTCTGAACTGACACAGGAGTGTTTGTGAGGGTGAAATCTCTGGGCTTCCCTGCACCACAGTTTCAACTCGAGTGTTTTTTTTTCTACAACCCGTTGTCAAGTCTTCATAGATGTATCATTGAGCTGTAGTTTTAGCCGATAGATTGAACTACATCTGTTATATAAATACATTTTGACTGGAGCAATGCTGGAATGGAACTGAGAGTAAAATAAGTGGAAATAAGTAAATAACTGGAAATAAGTATATACTGAGTATAATAAAGCAAAATGTTCTAGCTGAACTTTTATCTCTTTTCTCTCTTCATATCAAAATGGTATAATTGATGTTGAAAGCTTCAGGCGCCCAACTAGACATTTGGTTAGAGGGGGGCTAGGGGGAAATATTTAGTGCGAAGCGAGAAAATTTTTTTGGCCCCCCCCTAAATATTTTTAGGGGGGGCAAGAAAAATGTGTGTTATACTTAAACAATAAAAACTAACCTTACCAACCGGATATTCAGTTATAAGTCAACACATCTGATATAAAATGAAACAAGAAATCTAGTCTGGTCAGGGGCGGATACAGGGGGGGCGGGGGGACGTACTTCGCCCCCCCCCTGAATTTGGAATTTTTTGTTCTTATTTCAGAATAGCTTCTCAATAGCATGCTTAATTCGGAAAGAAACTCTTGTGCAAAACAGGAAAAATATCTGTCTTAATAAACTATAATGTGTGAAAAGTTAAAAATCTAGTTTTTTAGTCTTTAGTCATTAATTTTCACTCTTTTTGAGTCTTTTAAGTCAAAAAAAATTTTCGCCTGCGCCGCGATTTTTGGTTCCTAATTATGAATTTTTTTGTTCCTAAAAAATCTTGCCCCCCCCCCCTTCACTTAAATCCTTTATCCGCCCCTGATTCTGGTATAAATCACAAAAGTAATTAATTTTCAATACAAATTACATATATATATATATAAATGTTCATTAGTTATCCATAAATCAAATATGTACATTGTACTCAAAAACTGACAAGAAATGCCTTTTATTAAAAATTTATGGAGGACGTCGTGTCGATCTCCAATAAGACAAGGAAGTTTTCTCGAGTATATATTTTACTGATAACAATAACAACAGAACTGGGTAAAAATATCGGAATCAATCACATTGTTCTAAACGAGAGATGCAGCGCAGGATTCACAACTCTTTTCTTTGTTTATGGCCTTTGTGTTAGGAGGCCGCCAGGTCTCGTCTTCCACAGTACCCCCCCCCCCCAGCGTAGAGGCCGGAGGTTGACCGGAGGGTAAGCGTTTAGTCTCCTATTATCACTGGAGTAAGTTTAAAAATCACTTTTTTCCTCCTAGGAATTATCACAGTTGAGGCTGAGGCTGGACTCTTCCTTGGTCTTCCTCGAGGACGAGCTGGAAAAGGAGGAGGATCTGGTGGAACCCTACGAGGAGGACGTCCACGACGAGGTGGTTCGGCTGGTTTCTCTTCTGCAGAGGTAATAGCTGGTTTCAATCTCTGCACAGAAACCACCTCTACACGATTACCAACCTGGAGAAGGAAGGTTCTCTGGGATCAACTGAGAACTTTATAAGGTCCTTCATACAGAGGAGATAGAGGGGGAACATGACCATCTCTGCGAACCAAAACCATGGGACAAGTTGTCAGAGATACTGGAACCTGCTGAGGAAGCTCTGGAACTTCGGGAGTGTTGTGACGAGCAGGTACTGGACGAAAACCTGACATTGAGTTTTTAAGATCCTCGTAGAACTGTTTTGAAGGAGGATCCTGACTCTGTAAGAACTGATGAGGGAGGTTCAGATCTGAACCATAAACAGCCTCCGCAGCAGATGAGGCTGAATCCTCTCTCGGAGCAGAACGGAGACCCAAAAGAACCCAAGGTAAATGATTGTACCAATCAGCAGCTGCCAACAGAGCTCGTAGAGAGTTTTTAAGCTGTCTGTGGAATCTTTCAACCATCCCATTTGCTTGTGGATGAAAAGCTGTGGTTTTCTTGTGAACGATACCGAGCAAGTAACAGATTGCTGACCACAGGGAGGAGGTGAATTGAGCTCCTCTGTCACTCGTGATAATTGCTGGAACTCCAAACCTTGTAATCCAACCGTGGAACAAGGTAGAGGCAAACTCTGCTGCTGAAATACCCTGGAGTGGGAATGCTTCCGGCCAGCGAGTAGATCTGTCCACACAGGTCAACAAGTACGTGAAGCCTTGAGAAGGTGGTAGAGGACCAACTAAATCTACGTGAATATGTGAAAATCTTCGAAACGGAACCAGGATTTTTTCCGGTCTGAGCTGAACATGACGGAGAACTTTTCCACGCTGGCAAGAAATGCATGCTCGACACCAATTTCTCATGTCATTGGCTAGTCCACACCAGACAAATCTTGATGATATTAATCTCCTTGAGGCTCTTGTCCCTGGATGAGATAAGCTGTGCAGAGCGGAGAACGGACGGAGAACCTGCGTTCTAGCATCACAGAGTAAAAAACCATTCTTAACAGGTACAGAGACGAGGCGGAGAGAGGGAGAACTCTGTAGACAGAGAATCTCTGGACAAGAACGTTGGTCTGATGCTAGTTCTTCAAAATTAATACCTTTGGCTGTGGCTGGAAAGGGAGAGGGTAGAGAAGAATCTGTCACCTCTGACACCTCCGACACCTCCAACACCTCCAACACCTCCGACACCTCCGACACCTGACCACCAGGGGGATGGGCAAAAGGCGGATGACAAAGGGAAGGGGGATGGGAAGGAGGAGATGGACGAGAAGGGGAAGGGGAATGGGAAGGAGGATGGGAAGGAGGAGATGGACGGGAAAGATTATCTGCTACAACATTGGCGTATCCTGGAGTATGGCGAGTATAACTGGTAAACTCTGATATATAAGATAACTGGCGTTGTTGGTGTGCTGACCAGGGCGGAGAAACTCAGAACAGGGCGGAAACCAGGGGGAGATGGTCTGTAATGATGTGGAACTTTCTACCCTCTAACTCGAACCGGAAATGACGTAGGGCGAGAAAAACCCCCAACAACTCTCTGTCAAAGGCGGAATATCTTTGCGGAGAGTTTGGCGGAGAAGAAGGCTAGAGGTCTCCAATTGGATTGGAAACTGCATGGAGGGCGGCAGTTATTCGCAGAGTTTCCGAACCGTTTGTGAAAATAACATTCACCCGCACCAGCTGGACCCAGAGTCTGGCTTCGTCGGACAGGAGAAGCATCAGATGTTCTCCTCCTCGAGCAAAAGAAGGAGAGGTAGAAGCTGCAGCTAGGAGAGGATCAACTGCTTGTGCTCTATGAGCATCCCATAACTTATCTGCGTGTAAAGCCATCTTGCTTGGTTTCTTGAAATCCTTGGCCACCTGGTGGTCTCTCATCTCTACAGGCAATCTCTCAAGGAAGAGACCAAGAAACAGGCTACCCGGTACTTCATCTTCAGGGAGTAAGGGCAGCATGGCGTCCATCAAAGCTGTGGGGCGGCGGTCACCTAACGCAGGATGGTGAATAACTTTGGACACCCTCTGCCAGCAAGACAAGGTGTAAGAGGATACCAGCTTCTGTTTCAGATCCTCATAGGGTGTAGAGGATGTGGCAGACGAACTAAGTATCAGGCCACGTAAGGACACCATGATGTTCTGCGGAAGTTTCTGGATAACATGATCAAACTTTGTTCTCGATTGTGTAATCTGAGCATTACGGAATGCAGAATCGGCGTGAATCAACCAGAGATCAGGATCGTCGGACCAGAAATCAGGAAGTTTGACGGCTACCTTTGTAACGTAGTGAGCAGCAGGGGTTGAAAGATTTCCGTCATCTTCACTCATTTTGATAGGAATTTACTGGTTCTCCTCGTGTTGATAGGATTCAGGAACATCGTAGATATGTTCAAGGTCGGGGTCACCAATATGGAGGACGTCTTGTCGATCTCCAATAAGACAAGGAAGTTTTCTAGAGTATATATTTTACTGATAACAATAACAACAGAACTGAATAAAAATATCGGAAATAATCACATTGTTCTAAACGAGAGATGCAGCACAGGATTCACAACTCTTTTCTTTGTTTACGGCCTTTGTGTTAGGAGGCCGCCAGGTCTCGTCTTCCACAAATTCATGATTTTACATGAAAGACTTCTTAAGACTTCTTAAGTGAGGGGCATGCCCCCCCCTTAATCAGGCTAGGGGGGGGCCTGGCCCCCCTGGCCCCCCCCCTATTTGTGCGCTTGGAAAGCTTGATTGGATTCCATCAAAGTGTTATAAGATGTTATATTTGTAGAGATACTTTTATAAGATAATCTCTTTTTGAGAAAAATTTTATTGTTATTATTTTTCTTTTCTTTAAACAACCAACTAACTTACTTGATCTTTTTAACCATATCATCAGCAACTTTTTTGGCACTTTCTGGAAAGTATTCCTTTGCATACATGGCACCCACTGCATTTGTCAGAGAACCTAAATGTACAGAGAGATTAAAATTATACATTGTATAAAAAAATAAGATTAAATATAATTTTCTAGGCAGTGTTGAAATTAGTTGATATATTGTGTTAGACCAGGGGTCCACATGATCCCATCTCCGATTCAACATGCGAACAGGATTCATATAATTCCATCTCTGATCTGACATGGGATCAGGCTTGACAAGCCACTCTCTGTGTTATTGTGCACTTTTGCAAGTTTATGTGTAAGTATATGACATGTCACGAATTTTTACTGCATTTGAGGGCATTGGATCGAAATGTAAGGACCATTTTGGTAGAGCAGTAACTTTTAACACTTGCAAAGGCTTTGAAACTGCAGGATTTTCACTTATTAATAATAATAAAATTTAAATCTAACCTTCTCTGAGGAATAACAATTCTCCTAAAAAAACCAGACCAGCGACTTCCAGGACGCAGGTTTCCCATCTAGGTAAATAAGAATTGCGATGTGAAATCATTTATCAGGATTTCAACACCTTTATCAAATAAATCTTGATTTTTTGGTGTTTTTTTATTTAGTTTGGCCTACCTGGGGCTTACAACTTCTTTTCCTGTTAGAACAGTAGAAAACTTCAGTTTAATCTGCTGCATACTCTTACAAAATGATAATGCATTGAATAAATTGAAATTGAATCTAAGTACCTAATTTCTTTTTCCTTAATTTTAATATTTTTAACTAGAAATTATTTTAATGCATTCCAGTAGACATCCATTGTGGGTAGGGTTGTTTATCGTTTTTGTAAACGACTGTTAAACGATCATTTGTGTTTCATTTTCAAAAGCGACCCACTCGTTTTGAACTTTTAGAAAACGAATAACAATTGTTTTTGAAAACGATCGTTTTTATTAAAATGATTTGAAACCGTTTCTTATAAGATTGTTTTTCAAAAACAATCGTTTATTGAAAAAAAAATTTATTGACAATTATGTTAACGATCGTTAACAAAGGGTCATCGTTAATGATCGTTAATGAAGGGTCGTCGTTAACAATCTTTAACAAAGAGTCATCGTTAAAGATCGTTACCAAAGGGTTGTCGTTAATGAACTTTATCAAAATGGTCGTTTTTGAAAAAAAATTACATGCAACTGTATTGAATGTCATCTTACATGAAGTTTAACAGTTGTGGGGAGTTAAAACTCCTTGATATTTTCTTAAAAACTACTCAATGATAAGTACAGATGCCCTTCAGGTCGGTTTCCTCTCTTTGTTAACGATCATTATCAAAGGGGTTGTTGTTAACGATTGTTAACAAGGGGTTGTTGTTAACAATCATTAATGAGGGGTTGTCGTTAATGATCATTAACAAAGGGTCGTCGTTAACAAAGGTTTGTTGTTAACAATTGTTAACAAAGGGTCGTTGTTAACAATCGTTAACAAAGGGTTGTTGTTAAGATCTTTAACGAAGGGTCATTGTTAACAATTGTTAACAAAGGGTTGTTGTTAACGATCGTTAAAGAAGGGTTGTTGTTAACGATCATTAACAAAGGGTCGTTGTTAACGATGGTTAACAAAGCAACAAATTTTATAAAAACGCTCATTTTAGAAAACGATCGTTTTTAAAAACAAGCGTTTTTAAAAACGATTATTTTAATAACGACCATTTTTAAAAAAACGAACTTTTTAAAAAAACAATCGTTTTTAAAAATGTTGTTTCGTTTTGGATTTTTGTCGGCGTTTCATAACGAAACGATTGTTTTTCTGAAAAATGAAAACATTAACATCCCTAATTGTGGGCACTGAATTTGAGTACAAATCCTTGATTCCTCAGTTAAAATTATCCCATAGGGGAAATCAAAAAGGATAGGAAACAATCAAAAGATCTGTATATGATGGAAATCATTGCTTTATCCTGAGATTCACAATGCAAATGTTCATCACAGATAACTTGCTATTTATCTTAAACATTAAACAATCATGAGCATTCTCTAGTTTAACAGACCTTGTCACAGAATGGAACCAAGTTCTGTATTATTCTCCAGATTTGATAATTAGCTTGTACACGAGCAGGTACAGCAGCCATGTAATCTGCTAACTTCTTGATATATGGCAATTCAGCAATATTGATTATTTCAGTAGCCTTGACTTGAATTTCCTAAGTAGAATTATAAAATTTAGATCTACTTTATTAAGAATTAAGGGATGATTAAGTTATAGTTATGTGTTTTCTGAATTCCTTCCTATTTTTCTATAAGTGGGAGAAACTATTAAGTTAATGGCAAATTGTGCAGGCCAAACTAGTAGAGTTGGATAGCATCACTAGTGGTATAGGTGAAGGCAAGCCTAGCTGTATATTATTTTATTTGACTATGAATATTTACTTTCTAAATTACCAGATTTCTGAAGATTTTATTAATGTGTTTTTTCCAGTTCAACCCTGGAAAAAGTTTGTTTGCCTCTTCAACTGTCATCTGAAAAAGACAAAATATAAATTGTTTTTTTAACCCTGAAAGCTCAGTTAAACTCTAGCTTTCCTCAAAGCAGAACCTAAGACTCTGCAGAGGCTCTTCTAACAATATCTAGGAGTACAGGGAGACAGAGAAAATGGCAAATCTAAGTTAAACATACACACAAAACATACACATTAACTGTGTATATAACTATATTTAGTATAGTCATGATTCAACAATCTACAAAACAGCTAAGATAGCAAATATCAAATTCCAGAAAACTTGCAAGGGTTATTATTTCATGATTGCTTGGATTCAATGTCAGCAGCTGAGATATTGAATTTAGAAACACATAATTAGCTAAACCTTCTTGCAACAAACCAGAAATATCAGACAGAATTGAATAGAAGCAGAGATTAGCAGAATTCTGAACGGATGAATAGATAAGAAGAAGAATGTACAGACTATCTCTAATATCAATTTTTTTTTTAAATATCAAAAATGTTGGGGTGCTGTTTCTCAGGGTTTTTGGGGTCCTGGGATCCCCCACGTCTTCCACCCCCCAGGTGGGGAGCGGCCCTGGGACTTATGAATTTCAAAGTGGGAGAAATTGAAATACTGTAATACATTAATAGTAATTTTGTACAATTTTGTAATTATCTTTAATAAAAACCTTTTTGAATAAGAAATAAAAGATTAAAAATTGCCCTGTATTGGCAAATAAAAAAACATGGGTTTAGATATATTTTTATATCCTCATCAGACCTACAGAAAATGACCAAAAATATAACAATATAAAATAAATTGTTAAAAAACCCTAACAGTTCAAACACAAAGAAATTAAATCTTAAAAATTATCTTATTTTTAAATTTATTTTGAAGTTTAGAAATGGACATGTTTAAAGTTCAAAATTGTCCTAACCTTAAGATTAATTACATCAAGAAGGCATCATCAAGATCAAATTCTTAACTGAGAATTTTATGTGCAAGTAGGGTTGATAATCCTTTTTGAAAACGATCGTTAAATGATATTTTTTTGTTTAGTTTTTCAATTGTTTGTAAAAACGATCGTTTTTAAAAACGACCCACACGTTTTGAACTTTTAGAAAACAAATAATGTTCGTTTTAGATAATGGCGGTTTTTTAAAAACAATTTGTGACCGTTTTTTAAACGATTTTTTTAAAAAATGATTGCTTTTGAAAAAACAATAGTTGTTGAAAAAAAATTTTTATTGAGAATTATGTTAACAATTGTTAACAAAGGGTTGTCGTAAACAATCTTTAACAAAATGACGAACTTTATATAAACAGTCGTTTTTTGAAAAAAAATTACATGGAGTACAGATGCCCTTCAGGTCAATTTCCTCTCTTTGTTAACAATCGTTAACAAAGGGATGTTGTTAATGATTGTTACCGAATGATTGTTAACGAATGTCGTCGTTAAGCATCATTAACTAAACGATTGTTTTGAAAAACGATCGTTTTAAAAATGACAGTTTTTAAAAAACGAACTTTTTGAAAAAACGATCATTCTTAAAACGATCGTTTCGTTTACGATTTTTCATCGTCGTTTTCATAACAAAACCATCGTCTTCATAAATATGAAAATGTTAACATCCTTATGTGCAAGACCAGACATTCAACATTAGCTCTGATGTTTCAAAACTATAAAGGTGTCTGGGGCATGTCATTGTCATTTCTCCAGTTAGAGAACTATAATTGCCTTACAGTATCTATATAAGTATGCTCTTTGCTGATAGATAAGTTCTGATGAAAATATGTCACCCATATTAAGGCTGCTTAGAGGACTACTTCAGCGACTGAGCTTGTTGACACTTAATGGTTGTGCCACAAGTTTACCTCATTGTTTAAAGCAGTAAGATTTCTTCTCTCCTCCTGTGAAAGACTCATCTCTGAAAGTTTTATTTCAAACCTCAAGGACTCCTGAAATGTTTCATTTTCATATATTACAAGTTATATAAATTTCATCAAATTAATTATATTACTTTAAGTTCTTTCTCAGCAGTTTCTTTATGTGCCCCAAGATAAACAGCTAAATCAACCATATACCTAGTAAATAAATATTTAATCATAGTTGCTATTTCTTTTTTAAAGGTTGTAAATATAAACCCTTTTTACCTATGAAAGAATTTAAAGTGCTTTCAGGGAATAGGTCAAACTCATTAAACTGATTTGGATAATTCTCATGAAAAATGGGGTTTAGATTTTAATTTTGGATAGCTAAAATGGTAAATAAAAGAATGACAATTAAATGGAGTGACTTGCTAGACATGAGAGTTAAGCTAAAATTACAATATTGTAAAGAAAAATTTCAGAATTTATTGATACCAATGAGACATTTTTACAATGTGCAATTTTAAATTGAGACTGTAAAGTCACCTGCAGTTGTTTCAGTAACCAGAAGAAACGTTTTTTACAATTATTTAGTAACTCAGACAAAACATGTAAAAAAATATTATATAGACTAATTTGCTGTTTAGGAACATATTTCTTAAAAGAAATTTATGATGAACGCCATACACAGTAGATTAGATTATTTCATTATTATTATTACTTCTGCTGTATCTATAATTTTTTTTCTTGTAGATTTCTTTAAAATGTCATCTTCAAAATTAAAACAAAGAAAACCTTGAACAAGCATGAATTAAATTTTAAAATGAATTTTAATAACCAACTTTTAATGATATAAGTTCATTATTTTTCAGTTGTGAGCTGGTAACAGAACAGTTTGGTTGTCTACACATTGTGAAATCAAAACATGTTGGCACCACACTTAAATACATGAAGACAAAGAAAATAATAATCCAGAGATTGTGGTCTTTCAGCCATTTCTTCCCCTCTCTTTTGACAGAAAGAAGAATGGTAGCCATGCACAGAGATAACGGCTTTTTACTTTGCCAGCTGCCATACTCACTGCACAAATATTGATAGCTTTTTTAAAAAAATTTTGCCCCCCCCCCCCCTACCTGGACTTGTTTTGTTCACCATAAAAATACATCAAAAAGACTACATTTGGGTGTTACTAACCTTATGTAGTCTAAAAATTATTCCTTTGTTTGAAAAACTAACTTTTTAACTTTATAAATTTATCACTTAACTCCATCACAGCTAACTAAATCAATACTCACAGCATCATTAAAAATTATATTTTCACTAATAAACGAAATTTCTTCTGAAATGTTTAGATAGAATTTACTCATTCTACATATTCACCAACTCTTTTAAGCTTCAATTTTCTGGGATTTGCTTGACAAAAATTTCTATGATTTTCTCATTAGAGAGCTCAGACAGACTTGTAGGGTGTAAGGCTATAATTGCAAGATTGTTAAGTCTGTTCTCCGTCATAGTACATCTTGTGTAATGAAGTATTCTCTTTAGAAGGCTAAAAATTTTCTCTCCTTGTATTTACAGTGAATTTAGACAAATCCTTGGTCTTTGTCATTGTCAGGTGTTACTTTTTAAACGTAGTTTCCTTTTAATTTTGTATTTTCTAGGGGGGGCCAGGGCCCGGCCTGGAACTTCTGCCCCCCTAGGTACGCCACTGTGCCTGGCCTGAGGAAGGGAAATGCAAGCAGATGTAATATTAAAGGAGCCTCCCTCCATAGGTACCCCCCCTCAGCCTCTCAGCAGGGGCACATGTAGGGGGGGGGGCAAGGGGGAGCTAGCTATGAAGAATGGACTACTGTGGAAAATGCCACAATCTAAGCTGCTAAGCCACAACTCCCTATCTTGAAATGCAATACAAATTCAATGGGACACTTCTTCAAATTCTGCTCAAATTGAAAATACAGTATAAAACTTGGACAAATGGAGTGTGTTTAACAAGGCATTTGGCATTTCTGATACTGCACTCCTCACCTATCCTCAACTTCCTAATACCTACCAGTTCCAGGTTTCAGACCTCAACGTCACTAAAAGTCACTGTGAGATACCTAAAAGCTAGAAATAAGAAGAAAAGGAAAATTGGCCATAAAAACTGGAACTCTGATGATAAGCTCTACACTATCAGCCTTTGCTATTAGCAAATGGAGACACATTTGGAAAACCCCAAATAATCAAATTATCAAATAATTTGGGATTTATTTGGACCTTGTGTCAGAAAAAAAGATGAGAAAGTGGGGTCATTGAGGAGTTGCTCTAACCCTGCTAAATGTTGGTGTTACAGAGATGTCATAATGGAATTTTTTTTCAAAATCTGTAAACATAGAGTTAATGATTCAAAAGAAGAACAAAATTGAGACTTGAAGAAAAATAGAGATTTCTAAAAACAAGCACTTGCTATCATCTGATTATTTATATAATTTTGTAATAGATACAACCAATGTGTAGAATCATATTTGTTACATGTTTTGTCCAATTTATTTAAGAATTGTAAAAAAATGTTTCTTCTGCTGACTGAAATTACCTGAAATATGCCTGAACTTCCTTTTTTTCCATTCCTTTAATTAAATATTCTCTGTCTAAACCAAACTCAGGCTGTCCAACCACAATTATTCTGCAGGTTCAACTTTCATAATTTGTAATTTATAAATTATATTTCTTGATGGTCAAAATGTTATTTGAACCAAGAATGGAGTATGAAACCTAAGCCAATTTCAACATTTTTGCCCAATAACAATTTTAATTTTCTTTTATTATATTAAATACCACATTTATTTAAATTTAACTTCTGAATTAAAAGTCTGTAGATAAATAAGAAGAAGTTTTTCATATTTGACTAAATTTACTCCAGAGTCAAACTTTAAAACAGACATAAATGATTCTTACGTAATTTACTAAGATATAGATTGAGAAGTCATTGATTGATTGAGATTGATTTACGAAGAAAATAAATATTATAAATATGGCTGGTATATAAGCCAACATAATACAAAAAATTCATATTTGGAAAAAATTTGTTTTAGAGACTGATTACTATGTCTGTTGATTATTACCAAGAAAAATAAAGAAAAATTTTAAATTTATAGAAAATTCCTCTTGGTACTATCAGCCTGATTTGTGTGAATAGAAAATTGCATTATATTTCCTGCATCAAGAGTAAGACCCAATTTAATGACTTCCACTGAAATAAAATTAAAAATAATTAATTAAAATTTTACTCAATATAAATACAGGAGACCAAGAGATACATCACAATATATTAAAAACTAGATATTTACCATCTCCACTTTGCCTAGTCATTGATTTTAGAACAATATTTTAAATTTTTATTGCCTTGGGGGAGTGAATGCTTTTTCACACTTTTAGACCAAAAGTTAATTTATTCATTTATAATTTTGAAAAGAAGGGAGAGTAAAATTCATTTTTTGAGAAAATAAACTCTTTGGTTCATTCTGTTATAATCCCTGCAAATATTTAGTCTTCAACAAACCAATGGAGAACATATAAAGTCCACAATTATTTATGTTATGATACAACTAGATGTTTACTAGATGTCCTAAACTCCACTCCAAAACTCAACTTAGACTTGACTTAAACTCCACTGTTAAACTCCAGTCACCAACTGGATGAAATCTGGATGCATAATCTTGAATTAAACTCAACTTTTTGAATCCCAGTTTTTACCAAGTCAGAGTGAAAACTTGGATTTCAAATATTTACTTTAAAACTTCACTTTAACTCAACTTAAACTTTACACTTGAACTCCACTCACCAACTGGTTGAAATCTGGGTGCATAAACTCGACTTAAACTTGACTTTTTGAATTCCAGTTTCTGTGTCAATATATTCACAAAAATGCATTTTTAAGTGACAATTTAAAAATGTTTAATGATTTTTCAAAAGAATTGATATGTAAGAAATTTTATGCAACTATTTTGGTAAATAAAATGTATCAAAATTTCTATCATTTGGAGTAAATTGATGTTTTCAATAGAATCAATATAAGTAAACTCCACTTCTCATCATCCAGATATTACCCAAATATCAATCATCCAGAAATCGTCCAGAAATCATCCAAAAATCATCCATATATTATCCAGTCCCCATCTACTTTTTCAACCCCCCAACTTTGTGAAAAGTTGAGTTTTAATCCAGATATAGCCCGACTATTGCAGGTGAAAACTCCACTTTTAAACTCGATTAAAACTCCACTTCTGGAAGGCAAAAGTTAAGTTTTGCTGGGCGAGAACTTTGCCATTGGTGCAGAAAGTCGGTAAACATGTTTCCTTGGATGCTAAATGTTAAAAATTCCTTTTTTTTAATACTAATTTTTAAAAGCAAAATAATTTATAAAGGTATGAGGAAATGGAATTGGAAGCCAGACAGCTTAATTCATGACTTAAAAAATAACCTATCATTTATGGGAAAATTTAGTAATGAAAAGTTTTCTTGGAAATAAATACCCCTCATAACTTTGTGTCCACTGTAACCCATGTCTAAAGTTTTTTCTTACTAGATTCCCAATATTATTTTATTGTGTTAAGTTTTCTTGCAATGTATCAATATCATACACATTATGTTGACGTAAAAAAATAATATTATGAAAAACGAATGAAATAGTGCAAATTAGAACATAGGTATTTTTCATGCAGGCCTTATTAATACATGCATGCAAAAATGTTAAATAAGACACACCTTGCACTAGTTAGTAGTAGTAAACCTTAATGCTATTTGATAATTTGTTCATACTTAAAAAAATAAGTCAGGCTTTACACATTAATAGATAAAATAAAATGTGTCTAAGCTAAATCTTACCATCTAAACAGTCCCATGATAGTTTCTTCTGATTCCAAGTATCTCCTCCAAGAACTGGCCAACCTCCAAGCTTGTCCACCAGCTTAAATATGGCCTTTTTACTCGTCTTCTCTATGTTATCCTGAAGTCAAATAACTATTTTAGAAGGAAACCTAGAAATAAAGTAAAAGTTTTGGGATTGTCTTTGTAAAACATTTCTAATTCAGTGCAATGAGTACTAAGAACACAATAATCTTAATATGGTTTTCTCTGCTAGAGTTTAGAGTTTGTTAGTTTATATTTCTTAGTTTTTGTTAGGTTATAGTGTAAAGTCAAGTAAACTCAGTGTTAAGTGGACACATTTGATGAATGCCTTTAGTTTTTTTTTTTCATTTTGTTCATTAAACATTTGTAAACGATCAATTTTGTCAGTTTTTTTTTTAATTGTTCAATTGTTTTTCATTTGTTTTAAAAAGATCATTTTTCATATCTAAGAAACGGTCCAGGTCATCGTCCATCTTTTGTTTTTTTTTCTATAGGACAATCTTTCACAAAAAATTCCTTTTGTTCTTAAAAATTTGTTCTTTCACAAGAAGGATGCCCATCTCTACCCAGCAAGTGCATTTTATGCAACAAATGTGTTAACTCTGACAAATGTAACTTTTTATGCCTTGAAATTAGGTATTAAAAAGTACAATACTAATTCTTAAACAAAACAATCACTTAATTCATTATTTTTTATGGACACCCTTTTTAAACATGTAAAAAGACATATTTTTTGATTACAGATTCACTATAGGCTTATGATTAATGTAAATTTTAAGCTCATGATTGCATCATTTTTGTTAAAAACTGGAGAGGGTTCCAACCACTGTTTTTGTCCCTTTTACCTGATCCATGCAGCTTTTGTAGTAATTTTTCACAGACTTAAATATTTTAGGATCATTTTTTCCTGGACTTGATTCAAAGAGTTTCCTTAAAAAACAAAATTAAGCATTGTAGACACATAATAAAAAAATGAATTAGTTTACCTCAGGTTTTTATTTAGTTTTTCATCAAGTGAATTTAAGGTTCCTTAAAGTTAAAAGATTATGAAAACCCTTCATGATAAGAGGGCAATGCCACAGTACCTTTTAAACCTCTGACTGATGAAAACCACTTGTAAAACAAGGTGTATGCTACCTACAGGTGTACACTAAGTACAGGTATACGCTGAGTACAGGTGTACGCTAAGTACAGTGTAAAACAAGGTGTATGCTAAGTACAGCTGATGAATTACTATAACCTCTTATTGTGTACCTTTTAAAATCCAAAACATTTAAAGAAAATTTTTAATTTTTGCCAATTCTAGAAAGTGAATATAAATCTTAAAACAGCATCAAAACGAAGTGTTCATCAATTAAATGCATTTTCGTAGACTAACCTTGATCAGTAAAAATTTTAGGATAAAATCTTTGTATGGAGAGTCACGTAAAATTACACTTACACTATCAATCTATTCAGTGAATGCATTTAAGCCAAGATATTAATGTTGAGAGAAAATCTAGTGAATTTTAATATTCAAATTCATACAGAATTTTTGATTTGTAGATAGTAAATTTGAAACATGAACCAATTACCACTAATCAACATTTTTAAACATATTAATTTATTTTGAGCTCTAAAGTATCTAAAGTATCTACGACATAGGATTGCAAAAATTTAAAAATTGAGACATTAGAGTTTGAGGCAAAAACTGATTTCCTTTTGATAGTAAAAAGTAGTTTCAATATCACTTACCTACAGGGATAGAAGTGTTTATGTTTTTGGTTATAAAGAAGAATAATTTCAATTGATCAATAATTTTTTAAATATTTTTTTTGGAGTTCTGCATATTCATTTTTTTGAAATTCATTAATAAATTTTTCAATTTACAGTGTTCGAAACAGGATTTCCAACGCAATTGGATTTTACTGGCGCGCAATTGCAAGCCCTGTAAACTTTGAACAACTCCGCACCTACCTGCTTCAGTCTGATGATCAGGAATTGCTGTCTCTTTAACGTAGTTTCCACATGCAAATTCATAAAAGTCAGTGCAAGGGTCCTTTTTAAACAGAAAATAAAATATATTTATTTTCGAGACTGCTGAGAAACTAATAACTGGTTTAAATCTCTACCTTTTTTATCTGAAAAGGATCTGACAAAATTAATAGTCGGAAAAAGGTCTACAACATCGGATTGGAAAGGATTAAAACATCAGAGTTTGTGTGAAAACTCAATTTCTTTGGGTTCAATTGACAATCTGTTTCCGGGCTTATGTCTTCTGTAAGAGTCAATATTTTACATTATGAAAATAAAGAAAAATTGTAAATCCACAATTTTAAACTTATCTAGTCTGTAACCAGACAAAGCTTAAATTTTAAACCTGTATCAAGTACTGCTAATTACATACTAAACTGAATTTATTACTATTAGAGCTTCTAAAATGTATTTACCACTTTAACATCCATCCTCTGTATAAAATCTGCTGCTGCTACAACACAGCCTGGTGTCAAACATGTCTAAACAAATGGCTAGATGAGGTAAAGTAAAAAAACAACTTATTTGCTGAAAGGAGTCCGGTCTTTGCCACAAACTACATCTTATAAATTATTTTTACAATTATTTCTTTCTGCAAATATTACTAAAAATTACTAAAGTCATATTGCATTAGCAAAGAAAAGAGCACTATTTAAATCCGCTAAAAGAATTTTTTTGTGTGCATAGAAAAGTAAAATTTTCGAGCTAATTGGTTACATTAAGAGTTTTTTTTCCCAAAAATTGGAGGTTGGCCATATATTGGCCTATGTCTAAATCCCTGTTTTTGGCCCAAAATTGCCAAAATTCAGGGATTCATTTGAAAGTCATAACATTGAATGTAATAATTCATAAAAAGCAAAATACAAAATACGATAAAGGGGAAAAGATACCTATAATTTAGAAATAAAATGAATTGAGTCTCTGCCAAAAACTCTAATTTTCTAATCCACATATCTTTGCAACCCAATAATGTTGACCTTTGATTCAGACTGTGAATTATGTAAATTTGAATAATCTAAGTTTGAAACATTAAGTATACAAGATCAGGTTGTAAGGTGTAGGAATGAGAAAATTTCAAGGGTCCATGTAATTCCATCTACCGGTGTTTTTTTAATTCTGTAATTTATGATTCTGGTAAACACAATTAAGGTTATCTACACATATGGATGTTTGGTTTAAAGCAAAAAATTGTTTGGATATCTTCTTTAAATGTTTAACATTCTCTTTAAATGTTTAACATTCTCTTTAAATGTTTAACGTTCTCTTTGGCACACAAACTGATTCTGACGCGAAAGTTGTCTGCTACCTTGACAAGGGCAAGCGGTGAGGCGACAGGGTTGTTAAAGCTGTGCCCTCATTTTTCGACCGAACTGGCTGTCATTTTAAGGGAACCCTCAAAATGACCAGGCCTAGGTCGTTTTAATATTTCAGAAAGATTTGCGCATTATTTCTGGTTCACTTCTCCAGAAACACATGATTTTTGATGAAAACATGATGTGACAGAAAATATTTTCAGAATTTTCTTTATGGATTATAAAACGTCCATTAATAAGCTACTAAATACAATTTAATAAAAATTAAATAGCTGAGATATAAGGTTTTCAAAAATTAGAGAATTAAAAGAACACCCTGTAATATGATGTCAAGGAGTAAAAAAATTCCATACTGCAGAATGTATACTGCAGTGTGTAAGAGTTTTTATTTTTTATTACTAATATTAACATCTTTAAACACCCCAAATGCAGTTAACATTACAAGTGTTGTACAGACTTGCACTTAAACTAAAAACTTTTAAAAATTCACAATGACACAGGAAGTGTATTTTCATGTCTCTAAATGTACTTTCAATCCCGATTTAGGATCAGAAATGAAGCTATATGGACCCTGGAAAATTTGATTTTGTGGCAAAGACTGAATTTCCTTTTCTTTTTCTGTATTCCCCCCATACACTCTCTCATTATCACTCCTAGTCCCAAGAGCCATAGCAGTGACCAAGATTAGGGAATAAAAGGAATTCATATCTAAAATATTGTAGAAGAAAAAATAATGTATATAGCACAACGTTAGTTCCTAAACAATAACAGTTCCTTTAAAGTATGTCTTACTTGATCTCGATATCCATTAATTTGACGATTCACTCCCTGATTAAACCTCCCTTTAACGCCTGGATATCGAATAAAGATGAAATTAAAAAGCAGATTAACAAAGATCGAGATCAAGCGTTCCCATGCTTTTTGTAGAAATTAATTTATAAAGTTAAATTTGAGGAATAAAGTATAGTGCAAGGTCTAGGTGTTAAAGAAACTAAATATTTAGAACAAATATTTTTGTTTTATGGAATCAAAGAATAAAAATTTTATGTGAAATTTATAGTTTACTTTTTATTCGTTGTTGGGTGTCACAAAATCGTTTTAAAACTTGTAAATATACATTTTTTAAACTCATAGCTTTAAAATGTTTCATGTTGTCAAAAAAGATATGTTTTAAACATTTTTAAATCCTTTTTAATGGTTTCTTCACAAATGAATAAAGTAATTTTTGCCTTTGGCCTTCAATTGAAAAAATTGCAATTGAGAGCTTTGCATTAAACATAATTTTTATTCTGTATATCATGGGGATCGTAAAATTTGGGAATTTTCCCAATATAAGAAAAATCTCAAATTCCCAAAATACCGGAAATTCCTAAAGTTCCCCTAAAGAGTGCAATAACTTTCTGTTATTCAATATTACAAATTTTCTAGATTAAAATGCAGAATTTAAGAAAATTCTTATTTTCATTCCAACACACTGTTTTAAAAACAATGTCTGGTTGTTTTTGTTTATTTGCTTTGAAATATTAGAACACCCAGTTTCAAGGATTTGATTTACAAAATTCCACATGTTTCATATTTTACTTGCATTGAAATTAATATTTTCATATAAGTTTTTAGGGTCAATTAGGGCTAAGCATCCTTTTTAATAACAACAAAAAAAGATAGCTTGCTACACTGTATTTCCGTCCGTCAAAAGTAAACTTCCTGGCAGGATGATTTATTTTTCTAGAAGATTCACATGGAGTACACGATGTACTTCATGAAGTACATGCAGTACACGATATACTACGTGAAGTACATGCAGTACACGATATACTACATGAAATACATAAAGTACACGATATACTACATGACGTACATGCAGTACAAGATATACTACATAAAGTGCATGGAGTACACGATATACTTCATGAAGTACATGCACTACACGATATACTTCATGAAGTAAATGCAGTACACGATATACTAAATAAAGTACATTCCGTATACGATATACTACATGAAGTACATGCAGTACATGATATACTACATGAAGTACATGCAGTACAAACTATAATTTTCATGAAGTACATGCAGTACACGATATAATAAATGAAGTCCATGCAGTACACAAAATACTTCATGACGTACCTGCAGTACACGAAATACTTCATGAAGTACATGCAGTACATTCAGTACACGATATACTACATGAAGTACATGCAGTACACGATATACTACACGAAATACATAAAGTTTACGATATACTACGTGAAGTACATGCAGTACACGAAATACTACATGAAATTCATAAAGTACACGATATACTACATGAAGTACATGCAGTACAAGATATACTACATGAAGTACATGCAGTACACGATATACTTCATGAAGTACATGCGGTGCACGATATACTACTGAAGTACATGCAGTACACGATACACTACTTGAAGTACGTTGCATATCAGTCCTAGTAAAGAAAGAAAAAGTTCAGCTGTAAGGCAGTAGGGTCATTTGAGTGTACTGTAAGGACAAGGATATCTGACTCCTTCATGTTTACTCTCAACACCAATCTTCAGTTCATTTGCTCAAGTTGAAACAAATTCACATTCAGAACAAGGATATCTCACTCCTTTATGTCTACTTTCAATATGTCTGATAAGATTTGAATTTTTAGTTGTAAAGTATTCACATTGAGAACATTAACATGTATCTTTTTTCTTCCTGATTCTCTTTGCTTTGGTTTGCAGAAGATCAATTGTGAAATCCATGTTTCTTCCTAGATATAAAATATTTACATCTTACTACTTCACAGGGAAGTTAAGGGAATTTTTCTTTACCAAGGGTTCTCAAGACCAAGGTCAAGTAAAATTTTCAATTCCCCTCAAAGTAGTTGTACTCAATTTTATTGTCTTTTGAGATGAAAATGCACGAACTTGTTCTTGGCAGTTTTACATATCCTTTCTTTGCATTAAAGGGACAGACCGGCTATGTAAGGTAGTTAAACTGAGTATGCAGTGTTGTGGACAAATTCTTAAAGATTCATTGGAGACATATAAAACTTATTAAAAATCTGTAAATCCTGAGTTTGAGAGCAAAGTCGACGTTCAAATCATGAATGAGTTTTTAAAATCGGGTTTTTTTTTAATATTAAATGACGAAGACGAAAAAAAAGTAAAAATTCTATAGTACTTATTTTTCTTAGACACTTCTTAAATCACTAAAAAAGTGACATGGGTCTGTTTTTACTGTTCAATGTCTCATTCTCTTTGGACTTTTTAAAGTTATAACTTGATTCTGAAAGTCGTCTTCCTTTTTCAGAATGATCTGAATCATTGTATTATTTACGAAAATATGAGGAACAGGACACTTTTCATAATTATTATTTCCCTAGCATTTCTGAAAATGTTAAACTTTTTCAGGAAAAATTCGGAAAGGCAATTAAAGGAATCAGGCCCTGTCTGAATTAAACTGCCTTTTAAACTATTTAATGTTTTATTTATCCTTGTTTTCAACAAGATCCAACCAGACAAATTATTCTTCATTTTAAAAACCACCTAGAATTGCTACGCCTTCGCCACCCTAAACTAAGCTTTTTGTGCAGCGAACTGCAGTGATTTTGACTTCATAAAATAGTGGGTTTAGTGGGGCATTTGGGAAAAAAACTCCCCTCTAAAGCTAGTCATTAACAATATACAGTGAAACCCTTAATAACGAATACATCGAAAGAATTTATCAAATGTCGTCTTGACAATTTTCAATGAGTTTTATACTATATTACGTAAATTTCAGTATTTGCGAAAATAAATAAATATAATCATTTAATTAAAAAACTAAATATCTGCAACATTC